AAAATAAAGACAAAATCTGGTGTCTTTATTCGCCCTGTTCAGAAACTGTGCCCTATGGAACTGGATAGTTGTGATGTTATTGCCAATAATACTCCGAATGATTGTGTCAACCCTAACCCTTCAGTGACTGATAACTACAGAAAAACTGATTCTGTGACCACTCGAGCTGGTAGGGTTGTGAGAGTGCCTCAACGTTTTAGACAGTAATATTTTGAGTTTCAGTGATCGACATCTCTAAAACTCAAGAGGGGAGTGTCGAGAAACTGCGATGAACAATCTAACTTTAAAATTTTAACTGTAACTGTAGCGAGGCGGAAGTTTTGTAAACAGTAGGGGAATGATCGCCTCAGAGAGAAGAGGTTGATATGTAATGCTCATTTCAAAAAAGCTTAATGTTTCGTTTTCAATTATGTTTCTTGTTACGTTTTGTGTTAAATATTAAATGTTTTAAAAAGAAATAGTTAATTCCTTTAATGGCAGAACTTGTTACTTTTTATTATTGACATCTTTTTATTTTTACAAGAGTAGCGATCCTTTTTAAAGCGAAAGAAAAACATTTCCATCTTCTCACCGGGAAAATTGAAGAACAACAGAAATTGCAGGTAAGGTAATTTTGCCTTTACCTTTAATTAAGAATTATTATTGAATTTAATTGAGTTGATTAATAAATAATTTATTTACAAGTACTACTAATTGGTTTATGTCCGAAAATCTTATGGGTTGAGCTAGTTGTATCTAAACGGCAAACGTGCCTTTCAAATCTCATGCTGTATTCTTGAAAAATTCAGAAAATTTCCATTTCATACACTATTTTCTAATAAACAAAGAAACAATGTTGTTTGTTCCGTAGAAAGGCAACCTAATAGAATAACGATATGAAACGTGGAATGAGAGCTTTCTGGGAGCTCAAAATTTCGACTTTTTTGATTGCTCAAATTTGTTTTCTCTTTAAGTTGAAGGGATAAATCTAAGAAAAAGATTTCTAGAATAGGAATAGGATTACAAATATTTCATAATAGAATTACAAATAGAATAGAATTAGATTACAAATATTTCATAATGAAAATTATTTATTCTTATTTTTATTTAATTTTTTTTGGAGCTCTGTCTGACTTTTCTCGTTTTGACTTTCGTTCTGAAGATCGTTTTTACTTTTTTTCGTTTAATTGTCTTAAAAATAACTTGAAGGAAAAAGAGTTTGCTGCATATTCATTAATTGGAGTTCAATAATCTGTATTTTTAGCACTTGATTTACAGATCTTTAATGTTTTTAGCATTTAACGTAGCTTTTGCCAGAACCAAACCGAAACCAAAACTCTAAACTAAAAATTATAAAACTCATTAGTTATGAAAACAGTTATCATTTACAATTATCATATAATTTTGAACTGGTTAGTTATGAAAATAGTTATCATTATAGGGCGTTCACTTATCACGGTGTCAAGGAGAAATTTTTTTTTTGGAAGACAATTCCGTTGCTTAGCAACCAACAGGAAAAAAATCTGTATTAACGGTTAAAAACAAGTCATTTTGTCTAGCTCAACTCAGTTACCTAACACCAAAAACCTTTTCTCTGAATAGTGAATTAATTTTATAAGTATCATCTTGACACAACAGGATTTCCCCTTATCTTTAACAGTGCCATCTATTGACCATTAAAAAACCACAAAAACATACAAAAAACCACTATTAAGGAAAACCATCACAAAAAACCACGTTCTGCCAAAAAACCACAATCGACAACACACATTTTAGATCCTATAACACAATCTAATAATTTTATGCTTTTTTTTCTCACTATCTATTTGAATATTTAACATTATTCAACCAACAATGCACGAACATAGCAGTGATTTGCTTAAAAATAATTAGAATAAACTTAATGCATGAATACAAGTCACACGATATTCCGTTTAACATTGTTCAAATAATTTTCAAGTACAAAACTTAATATGTTTTTTTTTCTCCTTTCATTTGACACACATTAATGAAAAATGTTGGTTAATGCTAATTAACAGGTAGAAAAGAGGAAGGTAGCCCTAGTTTTAATCATTCTTCACATCTGCATAAGCTTCAGCGGTGCCCATCCTTAAAATAGCTCTGACGACATGTAACGCTGTTATTAATTACAGCTTTTGCCAGCACACGTGCATGCATATTTAATGAATTCTCATTAACGACAGGGCGTGAACTCACTCTTTCTCTCTCGTTTTAAAGTCAAAAATATTTTGTACATTTCTAAATGATCAAATAATTTACTAACTTGTCTCAAGTTTACATGGATTAAAATATTTACATAGTGATATAGTTAGGAATTATCAGGTAGGGTCGGTACATTAAATAATAGGTTAAGATAATGAACATGAAAGTGGTTATTCTAGATTTTGTTTTGGAAGAAACCGCAACGAAAGCAATAAATCTATAAACTTTCAATCGGTTTTTTTCCCTATTTTTCCCCTCTTCTTTTTAATTCTGAATTCTGCCTTATATTTTTGAAAATTAAAAGTGGCTTCGAGCTTAGTTTAATCCTTTTATGCCCTACCAGAAAAAGTGGTCTAAATCTAAAAACACCTGCAACAAAAAAAATTTGTTATTTACGAAGTGGAAATTTCTTTCTGTTATCTTCCATTCTAGCTTTTAAAAAAGCAAACAAGAGTTCTTTATAAACACAAATATTTATATTATTAATTCAAAATTTAAAAAAAGAATTGTCAGAACTATCTTGTTTATGCCAAATAAAACTTAATAAGACACTTGTGGTTAATAATAACTTAATAATAAGACACAACTTTTTTTTTCTTCTTTGGAAAAAAAGGAGCCATTCTTTAAGAAGGACATTTTTTACAAATGGATTAAAAAATAAAAAATCTATTGTTGTTTGAATGGTTTGCACAATTTTCAAAAATAAGTGAAAGAGTTTTTCCTCAGCGCCTCTGAAAGAGTCAAGCCTGGAGTATTTAGTGAAAGTTCTTAAATGGCAACTTACCATGTTCTTTCTCAACTCTTCAATCAATTCTTGAAAATAAATTCGGTTAGTAAATATTCATGAAAAACTTATATCGATAAAAGGAAATATGAAATAATAGTAATGAGAAGAAAGAGCTTCTTGAAAAAGAAGAAAAAAAAGCGGGCACAGAAGTCTACAAAAAGGAGGAGTCAGGCAAGTTATGTCACAGTGTTTTGTGACACCTAAAGAAAGAGATTGACAAATCAGAAATTGTTAGTAGAAATCAAAGTACATTGGGACAGCTAAAGAAAAAGAATATTTTGAAGAGTTAGAAATTATATGTAATCACTGTGAGTGACAGCAGAAGAGAAAAAAATATTGTTAAAAAATTATTGTTAAAAAAATTATTGAAAAGAACTAAGAGCGTTAAATAGGAATTAGACTGATAAGAAAAGTATGACTGATTCATTCAGACTCAGGCAGAGTATAAGAGTCATTTTAAAACTGATAATTATCATTTTAAGATTTATAATTATTTTTATATGCTTATAAGATAAATAATTATCTTTAAATGCATTGACCAAAAATTTAGTGCATTTTCTTAAAGTAATATATAGATAGATTTGCAAGTCGATCCGCCAGAAATTGTGAAAGTTAAATTACGTCGTTTAGAAAAATGCATTGTATGTAATTATTGATTTCCTTCATTCCACAAAATTGCCAATAAATGATCGCTTAAGTTAGTAGATTTTGATTGATTTAATTTTAAATAATAAATTTTTAAGTAAGTTATAACCTGAGTATGTAAATGTGATTGCTTGAAAATATATTTAAGTTACTAGGACGATAATTTTCACAGTCAGTTTTTTTTGCTTAACTTCTGGTTATGGAAAATACTTTTAGTTAATTGAAAAGTAATTTTGAATGAAAAGAATAGTAAAATAAACCTTTTGAGGATTTTGCTCTGCTTTTTTTTATTGCATTTTAATCAAACAATGGACTATGCCTATACTTAGTTTTTTCGAAGTCAAATTATAAAAATAATTATAATTATTTAAAATTATATTAAACATAATAATCTTAAAAATTTACACTTCTTTTAAAACGTTTTATTGCTAGAATTGTATAGTAACGAAATAACTTGCTAAATTTTGAATATTATTTTTCTTGTTAGAAACTAAGAAAGTTTTTTTAAAATGAGTTTAACTTTTAAACTTTAAACTTTTTCATTTTTAAGTAGAAAAATAACGGAAAAAATAGATGCAATAATATAAAAATACAAAATATTTGTATGACTATCAGTTGATTAGTCAAAGATGTTTAAGTAAGATCTAGTCTAAACTAACCAATACATCATGAAACATATATAGCAAGATATTCACAGAAAATTATTATACCCCTAAAACTACGAACAGTTACAGCTTTAGCTATACGCATAGTATTTAATTTTTAATTCGTTAGACAAATGCACTCATTTACTAAACATATTACCAATTAACAGAATATGTTAAAATTTCATGACCTTTTTTGGTAAACCACAAAAAAAATACAAAAAGTTAATAAACATCGAAAGTAGTTTCCATTTCATAGAAAAAATAAACAAATTTATGTACACCTAAATGCTAAGAACGGAAATAACGCAATCATGTGACGTGTCATTTCCGAATTAGTGACTTTCCGAAACAATAGTGAATAAATCACTCTCCGTATCAAACACGTGACAGTAAAATCACTGTTAACCGTAATCTCTCATTAGAAAACAATAAAAACTATTTGCTTATTTGTATATTATTTTTTTGACTTTTTATAAAACCAGAATTTTGTATAAAAGTTTAAAACATAGAATAAACATGGGTTAAATATATTTGCTTCAAGTGGTGGCATGAGGCAAACATCTGAATCACATCAATAATAAAGTTTAGAAGGATATTTTTGATGAATTCAGTCATTCTAAATAAGCTATGTCTGAAAATAACTATGGATAATTATTGCGACAGAAGAAGAGCCATGATGAATTATCTTTAGCAACAGAGAACATGAATGTTGCTGTTACCTCTTCTTGTTTGACTTTCGGGTCCTGGCAACGTGTTGGTCCTCAAGACGACTGCCTGACTCCTCCCTTTGGCATTGACGGCATAGACGACTACAACGAAGGTCGTTCCTGATCCCAGACCCCGGACCTGAAACATAGGGTGGTGTTCTGAGCTGAGGTTGGCCTGCAACCTATGCAGCTCGGTATCATGAACCTCTAAGACAAACTGCTGTTGCAGTCCGCCGTCATAACCTGGACTGCATTCAACAGATATGCCATCTTCTGTCTGGTTGGTAACACTGCAGTTTTCAACTGAATCAGGTGGACCTAAATGAGACACAAAATGTTCAACTTTTTTGTTGCTGTTATCTGCGGCTGTTTATTTATCTGGAAAATGTAAACAACAATAAAAGATAATTTTTTTTTTAATTCGATAAACAACTTTGAATTTTGTTTCAATACCGAGTGTTAAGCCTTACAGTTTTCAATTGAATACGATGGGCCTAACTGAGATGCTAAAAATTCAACTTTTTTAATTCTGTTATAAGCTGCTGTTATCAAAAAAATTTAAACACTTCAACTACTAAAGTCTTTTTTTAAAATCTTTTTTTGATTAATAACTTTGAATTTTGTTTCAATGCCGAGTGTTCTTCAATCACAACCGTTAATAACTTTTACAAGCATCGGCAGTCTTGAAATAAATTTTCTATGCATATTAAGGGGGGGGGAAACTATATTTCCACTGCAAAAAAAAAAACTTCATCATAAACTGATGAATCATTATAGTGAGAGCCGAGATTAAAAAATCAAAACCAGTTCAATTTCTGTATGACATTTTCGATTATCGCATTTAACTCTTCATATTTCTTTCTGACAAATCCAACAAATTTTGACGTTAATCTCACTTTTCTCGATAGCAATTCTTCAGATTTTAATAAAGTTTGATTAGGTTTTTTTTCCTAACCTAAATGCTAATTTGAAAAAACCTAATATGTATATAAGATTTTTTTTTTCATGAGTTTAACAATATTTTAGATGGTGATCACAAATCCCTTAACTGTCATATGAAAATAACTGATTCAAAAAAGTTTTAATGAATTTCTCGAAATAAAAATTCTTTTTTGATATTTTGAAGGTCGATAATAGGTAATAACCAATCTCTGCTCCCCAGCCTCAGGGAGAAAACATTTCGAACAATTTAATTTCAAACTACTTTTTGTGTCTTTTCATTTATCATTATGAAAAAAATAGAAATAGAACATTTTTTTTGTCAAATAAAATCTAACATTCAATGGAATGCTCATATTTTTGAGACATAATCCAATTAAAATATTTTCAATTTGAAACCTGCCTTACAAAAATAGTACGAAACACGGTATTTTATTAATTTATTTTTCGTATTCAGTACTAATGATTTCTCCCTATTTTTCGAATTTAAAAGTATAACTTTTAGAAAATTACGATTCATTGAATTTTCTATGCATACAGACTATCATTAAATTAAATTATGTATTCAGATTTTCAACTTTGGTTTATTTTATAACTTTCAGCTGAGTTCGTTAACAAATAGTATTAGTTTAATTTGATAGTATAATGTAAAAAAAAACCTTATTCATTAAATTTAATTTCTATCTGCAATGCTAAATTAATAAATGAAATCATTAACAAAAAGAAAATCATTAAAATATATGGAAAATTTTAAGCAGGATTAGAGTTTGCTAATTTTACAAATTTGGAATATTTAATTTACTGCTTAAATAAATAAAACAATAACGATATAAATAACAAACATTACTATTCAGCTTTGATTTTTCTAATTAAAACACGTTTGAATTGAATAGTTTTACTGTTGTTTTTATTAAATTACTATTTTAAATTTTTAAAATAGGACTGAAATCATGCGAAATTTCAAGTAAATTGCAAAATATATAAGCCTAGTATAATTAAGTACTTGATTTATTTACTTATTGAGAATATGAACTAAATATTCAAATTTAGTTTCATTTTAATAAATTAGAAATAGAGTTTATTTATAAAGAACTAAAAAAACATTATAATTCCCAAATTAGATTAGATGAATTAATAAAGCAATCAATGCATTAAGTATTTTAAAAATATTAAAGTTTTACTGAGTTTAGTCATAAAAGTAAAATTTCATGTAATTTGAAATGCTCTAAATCTATATTTACATTCCTAAATAATTTTCATCATATGTGATATACTCGTACATGCAGTTAAATAATATGTAAGACTTGACATATTATGAAAAATTCTTAGATGTTTTCCATAATAATTTGAATAAATTTGTTGGAATCAAAATGCGCTACATTTTGAGTCATTACACTATTTACTAGAGAAATTTTCTCACGGCTGTAAAATATTATTTTTGTAACTTAAATCACGAACGGAACAAATAACAAGTAATTTATTATGTCTTCACTGAAATCAAGGAGTTAAGTTTGCGTGTCTCTTAAAAGAAAGAAGTATCTCTAATGGTAAAAGTACTTCAAGTATCCAATATTATAAACCATATAAGTGTTGGTATTATGATAAAAAATAAGTAGCTTCATAATAAAAGGAATAATCCATTAAAGATGGAATAAAGCCCTAATTAATATAAACCAATTAGTGTCACCATTATAATAAATATTACTTCAAACTCCCTCTTAATAAACAAAATAAATGTCTCCAGTATCATAATTGAAATTAGCATATATATATATATATATATATATATATATATATATATATATATATATATATATATATATATATATATATATATATATATATATATATATATATATATATATATATATATATATATATATATATATATATATATATATATATATATATATATATATATATATATATATATATATATATATATATATATATATATATATATATATATATATATATATATANATGTAGGACCACCTTTAGCCCTCAAAACTGCTAGCACCCGCCGTGGCAATGATTCCACAAGGTGCTGATAGGTAGTCTGAGGTATCTGGTACCAAGCGCTCACCAACTGGTCCTGCAATTCCCTCACATTGCGAAGGGGTAGCGTGGCAGCACGAATTTGGTTTTCCAAGTAGGACCACAAGTGCTCTATTGGATAAAGGTCAGGTGAATTTGGGGGCCAAGACATGACTTGAAAGTCACTGGAATGTTCCTTGAACCAATCCACGACGATTCGACCCTTATGACATGGTGCATTATCCTGTTGGTAAACGCTATCCCCCGCAAGAAAAACTGCTGCCATGAATAGGTGAACCTGGTCTGCAACTATGTTCAAGTAGCTTACAGACGTTATGGATTGTTCTATGAGGATTATGGGTTCTAATGTGCCCCATGAAAACATTGTTCCTGCGAGAAACCATGAAAACCTGGGCGAGCCCATTGTTATAGATGGAGGGTGGTCATGGCTCTTCGGTGTATATGTGTGTGCGTGTAATAAACCAGATAAAAGTCTCCACTATAAAATAATCCAGATTAGCGTCTCCACACTATAAAAAATATGCACAAATAGGTTTTAGAACTTATTAGGAAAACAATACTTTTTAAAACTGGCATATTTGTCTCTGTTTACAACAGTTATTAAATTAAGAAGTAATAAGCTTTTTGAATGGTCTGTGCTCACTTCAAATAACGCTTTTTTTGAGAGTAATATTCGATTTTCATAACTGCTATGAATTTATAACAGTTATTCATGAATGTTAGATCTAGTTTAGGTTATCTTTTGTCAGTGACCTCTAAGCTAATTTTAAATGCCAATATGAAAAAGAGCCACCATTTTGCTAAAATGATAAACGTGTTAGATCAAATTTTTAAATATTTAAAAAGTAAGTTAAGTAAGTTATTAAAAAGTAAGTTACCGGCCCATAAAACTTATAAAATCGAAAATTTAGTCATTAAATTTTGCAAATTTTCATCTTGGGGAAAAAATCTCGCCAATTTGGCGAATTCTTTAAAACTTTAATTACTTATAAAATACTTAATTTATTTGTCCGTTCTAAAGTACAGATAATTCTTTAATGCAAGATTGTAGAAATAATATAAAATATTTCGCCTCAAGCTTAAGTCACTTAACATTTTAAAACCTGTCAGGACAGACATGATGTCCTATCAAATGTTACAAGTAGACTGTTGGGCTAAAAAGATCCCATTTTCACATTAGTTTTGCAAAATTGACATGATGGTATAGGTTTAGAGAAATATCATGCCAGTGATAATTTATGCAGCATTTCGTGAGGAGAATAATTGAAATAGAGCTAAAATAGTTAATATTATAACATAAGTATTATTTATATCCTTTTACGCTGTTTTAGGTCATAATTTGCATTGTTTTGAAAGTTTATTATTTTATTATCATAAGTTACAGTTAGATACTGTTGAAGATACTCCCACTCAAAAAGGCTAATGGGTTTAATGGGTTAATGCAATATCTCCAAGAAAAGAGAAGGTCTCAGTATGGGTTACCATATTCCGAAAATTCGATCTTTTAGTAGCCCAAATCAAATGACATCTTTCGTCATTCATTTGAATGACGAAATATGTCAATGACGATGTCCAATGAAGGAAGTGGTAAATACTACTTTCGTATTTACCACTTAGTAGCCCGAACGTAGTGAAATCTTTCTTATTTTTCCTCCACTGCGCAGTTTATGTTCGTTACGTCGGACTACTAAATTGATTAGTGCCGTGAATGCCCTAGGGCTTTACAGTAAGAAGTGAGTTCAGATATTAAAAACTACTTATGTGAAGCCAAAAAAGAAACTTTTAGAATAAAAAAAGTAGATATCACTTTTAAAGGGATCAAACTTGGTCTTTTTCTTTCCCTCCATTTTTCTAAGCAAAAGACCTTTAAAAAAGCACACTGGAAAAAATTCTGAGAAACATGTACCTACCTGCTGGTACTATCGTGTAAATGCACGGATCAACCTGCGATCCTACAATATTTGTACCCCAGCACAGTAGTGTTCCATAATCGAATTCAGTTCTTGGAATGTATGTGGCGGTCGATGTTACGCCGTCATTTACAAAAGTCACCACTTCCAGACTTTCCGCTGTATTGTTGAATTGCCATTTGAAAGAAACTTCTCTCGGATCTGATTCAACTTCACAGACGACGCGGACTGCCTCGTGCCTGGCAGCCCCGTAGATTATTTTTTGTCCAGGCTTGCAGAAGGGAGCATCTAGAGTGATAATTAAACAAATGAATTCAGAGATAATAAAAATGCATAAATGGCATAAATATGTAAGTATTTCATTTATCATTCTGATTTGGGTCAGACTACATTTCGAGGTGCCCCTTGGATGATCGCCAAATTGGTCACCAGGAGAAGCGATGTTGATTCTTTTATGGCAACTCTCACAGAACTCTAAATAAGATAAGTCGATTTTTCTTTTTTTATTTCGCATATTAGATAACATGCGTTACGATTTTTACGTTATTTCCTTGTTTTATTTCCTTTTTTAATGTTTTAAAATCGTGTCTTGCTTACGGCACCCTTTTATTTGGCAGGGAATAGCATGTAAGCATAATTGGAGCCAAAAATATACCGAATATTTTTTATAGGGTTACGTTAGCAGTTTACACATATAGGTGACAAAATTCTATTGCATACTGATTTATGTTGAAATTTTGAGCTAAATGTGATTTAAAATTTAAAACCATAAAAACTGTCCAATAATAAATAATATATCTCTATCCTTAAATGTTGAAATAATAGTGTCCAGAATATAAGTCTAGTCACAGAGATCAATTGGTTTACATTAAAAGAAGACCAATTTAAAATTAGTACTTACATTGCACTCTAAGAAAGACGTCATTGCTTTCACCGGTTCCTTCACTGTTTGTGGCTGTACAAGTATATTTACCACGACTAAATTTTTGCACTTTCTGCAGAACCAGACTCTGGTTGGAAACTATTATACCGTTGGTGGTATTTGTGTGGAGTTCACGATCCTCGAATTTCCATCCGATTTCAGACACCCAAGGAGAGGCTCTGATGTTGCATTCGAAGTACACGTCATTACTTTCTTGAATGTGGGCGTGCCTTAACTTGCTCCCGAGACGGAGCGTCAGCTGTGGTACATCTAAAAATAAATATAGAAAGATTATTTAAATTTCCATAACATAAAATGTAAAAAAAAAGAGCATTCGTTTCTCTCTGAGGTAGAACATGGATTCTCATCAAAGACAATGAATATATACCACTCCAATCAGTACTAATGCGAACATGTACCAATACAAGTATACCACTATGCGTACGTACTAATAGGAGTAGATACCACCAGGATTATGTATCAACACGAGTATGCATCGCGAATACCGGATATGAGTATAGTTGATTGGTACTTCTCACAAGTATTACATTATTGGTGGCTGACTCATTGATTACAGTAATTTTTTTTTATCAGGCTAACTGTGAGAGGTTATTCTCGCCATGAAACGTAGAAGAAGGTGAGTTCACTCTAAAAATCTCCCGATAAAAGCGATATAGATATTCCTCTGCTTTTTGAGTAAGGTTCGAAACTACTAAGTTACGGAGTTCAATGTTCATGCCCGTCACTCTAACATGATTTATTTATTTAACTCTAGCTATAATAAAAAATGAAGTTTCTTCTAGTTATAATAAAAAATCTAGTCCTTTCTAGATATAATAAAAAATAAAGTATCCAACAGAAGATTTCGTCGCGGGCATATAATATGTTATTTTTATATTTAAAATAAACAAATTTCGATAAATTTAACGTGATGAATTTTTTGGTTCCCTTACTGTTTATTCGATTTTTTTTCAAAACTCAAAAATGGAAGATTATTAATGCTCGTAGATCTTATGAAACATTTAAATAAATAGCCTAGTATTAATATATTAGTATTTGATTTCATAAATTACACTCCCCGTATGACCTTTTCTTTGATTTTCTTATGGCTAAGGTTTATGCCAGTGAACTTGCTTTGCTTTGTATCTGCTACCTCTAAAGTTCGAAAGTAGTTAATATGTTCATTATCTAACTAAACAGCAGATTGAATTTACAGATCCGTTGTGCGCCATAACTTTCTCAATATGTTTAAAGTTCAAAAGTTTGTTTCTCTAATTTTAAAAACTAATTTATTGATAGATTGGTTGACTTGATTCTTTAGATTCTGAAAAATAAATGAAGGAAGATTTCGAAACGGAGGAAAACGAATTTCAAGGTTTAAGATTTATCAGAACAAGCATTCGATTGAAATCTAAAAAAATAAAAATAAAAAATCAAACTATGCACCAATGTCACAAGTACTTATTGACATCACCTATAAACTTGAAAACAAAAAAAAAGTTAATTTTAAAATCGGGTTGGAGAAGATCTGTTTTTGTCCCTCAAAAATTCTCCCCACACAATATTTTCTCACTAGTATTCTGATCATCTTCTTAACTTTATTTTTCTTCGTTCTTCTTTTCAACTCGTGGGCAGGAACAGTTTTTTTCCCATCTCGGTCCATCTTTAACTGTGTAATAAACCGATTTTCCACGTTATTGATTTATCAAAACTTATTAATCCTCAAACTGCATCGAATCGTCATTTTTGTGAAAAATGGAGAAAAAGTATTTTTCCTCCTTGATCTACCAAGTGTTAAGTTCCTTAGTTGTAATACTATTTTAAACAATTCCATCCTTTCACTTTTAGTTAAAGCAATTGATCCTATCAACTAACGTGTTGGCTGTCACGTGATTTTTTAGGTAGCGAAAAATACATTAATCTCATCATCATAATTTCAGTGTGCAAACCAATTGCTATTGTTCAAGCAAAGATCTTATTTTCACTTTAACAAATGCCTAGTAGCTAATGTACATATTAACAAGGTAGTTTCCAGAGAATTTGACCTGAATAATGAGAGAAATGGAACAAAATTTTGGTACTTTAACGAACAACCCTAGTCGAATAACTGATTTATACACTTTAGCTGTAACAGACAGTGCACAGGTTTTTCATTTTATTTCACAAACGTCATTGAACAGAAGACCCAATTTCTTGGGTTTACGACTACAAATAACTAGCTTAAAGGCATGAAATTAAAACGCAAAAAACAGTTTAGGAGAAAATTCAAGTAAAAATCAAACCATAACAGGTAAATCAATAAGGGGTTTAGAGTATACAAGGGGTTTAGAGTATTCTTAACAATAGTCAGCAAGAGGCCATCAGGATTCAGAAAGGTGCCTTGTTAATAAACAAATTTCTTACTATATCCATAATTCCCCTTTTTATTTTAGGGTTTGACCAATGCTGCTTTATAAACTCATAGGTGGTTTTTGAATGAAAAAATTTCTCTCTAATGTTCTTAAAATTCTTACAATGGATTAATATATGTTCCCAGTCCTCAACAAGCTGACAGGTACGACACAGCTGAGCTCCCCCAAAAAACCTGGTCTGATGTTGTCCATGAAAGCCATGATTAGTTAGGAATTGATTTAAAAAGAAATTCCCCATGATTTTTCTCGTTTGAACTTTTAGGAGGAGCTCGAATGTGTGTCTTCCCTTTGTAAAGCTGTCACTCCATCTCCCCTGCCATTCAATCAATTTTTCGCATTCCAAAGTTTTTCTTGCAGTCTGCCTACTGGGATCTTCAAACAGGTCGACTGTTGATCCCTCACAGGCTAATTTACGTTACGACTACTAATGTTCAACTCTGTAGCCTTGCAATTTTGAACCCAATCCGGAAGACAACGGAACTCCTAGATCAAGCATGGGGTGAAATTTGCCTTCGTGAAGGACTTTTTTGATGGAACTAACCCGCAAATGCGCTGCATGGACAGGAAGACGACGAGAACCTCCCACGGTTAGTCTGTCGGCAAGGGGACTCTAACCCTGATCCGTCTACCACAGAGGATATTTCACGTCAGCACTGTGATCGGTGCGAGCCAGTAATGGAATTCATATCGACCAGTCATAGCTGGGATTCGAATTCGTGTCACCTTATTGGAAGGCGAACGCCTGATATCCCCTGAGCTACTAGTGCATATGTTTCAGGAAAGCAGGGAAGGGCTTCTCTATGGTATGTGCTATTTCATGCATAACCTTATACTTTAAAATTAATTAAAAAAACTCTATTTTTTAAGTATAAACTTAAGTTTTCTTACAGAATTACTTCTAAAGTGAATTTTGTATGTATCTCTTAATGAATATTTTTAAGTTCAATTTAAAATAAAGCACAATAAAAAATTTTATTTTAAATATATACTATATTTAAACATTAAAGAAATAAAATTTGTTTCTTTTGGGAGTATTAAGTTTATTTACTTTAAAGTACATCGCATTATTCTTCAAAGAATATTAAATGTTCTTTTAACAGAAATCAAATTTCATTTTTTATGGTTCACATATTTTAGAAAAGTTAAACCCACGAATTACTTAAAAATTAATAACGTGACAATAAATTCCCCCGACCACGAGTCCAAAGATACACTTTGAAAATAAATATGTAGCTTTAATATCCTTTTAAAAAGAACTTTTAAATGCAATATTTTGAGAAGAAAGAAAAATCGTAATAAAGGATGGAAAAAAAAACATTTCTCATGAAAACTCTTTCGAATAAATATTTTATTTAGTCCAAAATATACTCTGCAGTATTTTATTCCAGAAATATTTAGTTCGAAAAATGTTCTGACACTGGAGAGGAATGTAAACAGAAATGGAATATTCTTTGGGGAAAAACTAAATTTTTTCCTCATCTCGAGGTTGATAATAAGTAGGAGACATTCCGTTTTCTATCGAAATTAATACAGAGTTTATATTGCAATATTGTTTACTCTTACGAGTAAATGACTTTTCTTAATTTATGTACATATATTATTTAATTTATAATTTATATATATATATATAGTTTCCAGAGAATTTGACCTGAATAATGAGAGAAATGGAACAAAATTTTGGTACTTTAACGAACAACCCTAGTCGAATAACTGATTTATACACTTTAGCTGTAACAGACAGTGCACAGGTTTTTCATTTTATTTCACAAACGTCATTGAACAGAAGACCCAATTTCTTGGGTTTACGACTACAAATAACTAGCTTAAAGGCATGAAATTAAAACGCAAAAAACAGTTTAGGAGAAAATTCAAGTAGAAATCAAACCATTGCAGGTAAATCAATAAGAGGTTTAGAGTATATCTTTCTTATAAATAGGCAGCAAGAGGCCACCAGGAGTCAGGAAGGTGCCTTGTTACTAAACAATAGAGGTGCCTTGTTACTAAACTCTTAATATTTACGACTACTTACGTTCAACTCCGTAGCCTTGTAATTTTGAACAAAATCCAGAAGACTGGAGAACTCCTGGATCAAGTATTGGGAAAAATTTGCCTTCGTGATGGACTTTTTGATTGAACTAATCCATAATTGCGTTACATAGAGAGAAAAACCACGAAAACCACCCACGGTTAGCCTGACGTCAAAGAACCCATGATCAGTCTACCACTGAGGATTTTTACGTCAGCAATGTGGTTGATGCGAGTCGGGTGCGGAATTCGTANCGCCCACATGTTGCGCGGACTGTTAGAGACTTCTGTTCAGCACAACGCATGCAACTTCTTCCTTGGCCTGCTTATTCGCCGGATATGTCGCCTATTGAGCACGTGTGGGATATGGTTGGTCGGCGTCTCACTCGTGATCCGCGTCCTGCAGTTTCCAAAGACGAACTTTGGTTGCGCATACAAGCGATATGGAATTCTCTTCCTCAAGCAGATATTCAACATCTGTTTGACTCCATGCCACGTCGTATAGCAGCACTTATTGCAGCGCGTGGTGGCTGCACCAAATACTGATTTCGGACGCTTAATTTGTTTCTTTTGTTTTGAAAATTTCATCATTTATTTGTATCAGTACAAGTCGTTTCTGTATTAAATTTCATTTGATTCTGATGATTCTTTCATGGTGTTGCATTTTCTACAAACAGCAGTTTATATATCAAAATGAAGATAAAACAAAGGAAAATTATAGACATATGAAAAAAGGGGAGGGGAAATAATAATTAAGAAAAAATAACAAACAACTGATAAAATAAAAATAAAAAATAACAAAAAAAGAATAAAAAAATAAAAATGATAAAAAAA